TGGAGGATAAGAAAAAGAAGAGCACCTCTCTAACATCAACGCAGTGATTTAAGAATAGTTTATATAAAAATAATCATGATAGTTGTACTTGAGGATCTTGCATTAAATATTAGCATCACTGAACTCACTACTAATTCACATTAGAAAATTAGAAATATGGCTGGGCGTGGTGGCTCATACCTGTAATCTGAGAACTCTGGGAGGCTGAGGCAGGTAGATCACCTGAGGTCAGTAGTTTGATACCAGCTTGGCCAACATGGTGAAACCCTGTCTCTACTAAAAATACAAAAATCAGTCAGGTATGGTCTGCACATACCTGTAATCTCAGCTATTTGGGAAGCTGAGGCAGGAGCATGGCTTGAACCTGGGAGGTGGAGATTGCAGAGAGCTGAGATCATGCCATTGCATTTCCAGCCTGGTCAATAAAACAAAATTCCATCTCAAAAAAAAAAAAAAAAAGAAATACATTATTAAGGAAAGGTCAGCCAAGTAAACCAAAGACTAGCATTAATAGAAACTATCTTCCACTTATATAACTTGGTATTAAACAGACCATTACTAGATTTTGATGTCTAGTTAATGTTCCATATTCTTCTTCTAAAAATAGTATTTACATGGTCATTGTGTAGAATATTTGTAAGATACAAGAAAAACACAACCAGACTGTTAATCTCAGTATCTTGATAGAAATACTGATTTTGGGGTATATATATTTCTATTTTTTTTTCATGTGTAGTTTGTATGAATTTGCAAGTAGGAATTTAGGGGAGCAAATTTATGGTAGGCAGAATTTTGGCACCAGTGATCTTTATACTCTGGTATAAAGGGTTGTGAATATGTTACTTCACACAGCAAAAGGGAATTAGGTTTGCTAACCATTTGATTTTTAAACAGGGAGATTCTCCTGGATTATCTGGGTAGAAATGGAAGTGAAACAGGAAGTCAGAGAATTGGTTAAAAAATGTGATGGAAATCCAAGAGGCAGGAGAGATTCAGAAAATGAGAAGGACTCAACCCCTCCTTGCTGGCTTCACAGATGGAGGACGGGGGCCATGAGCCAGAGAACATGGGTTACCTCTAGAAGCTGAGACTAGCCTCTAGCTGACTGCCAGCAAGAAAATAACCACCACAAGGAACTGAATTCTGCCAACACCTAAATAAGCAAGAAAATAGTGGAGAGGAGGCTCCCATAGAGCCTCAAAGGCTTCCAGCCTGCCAGCATCTAGGTTTTAGTCCTGTGGGATCTATGTCAGATTTCTGACATACAGAGCTGTAAGATAAATAATGTATGTTTATAGGAGGGGGTGGAGGGTGGAGGAAAAAAAGTATGTGTTAAAAAGCCACTAAATTGACTACTCTGCCTATGGAGTAGCCATTCTTTATTCCTTTACTTTCCTAATAAACTTGCTTTCACTTTATGAATTTGCCTTGAATTCTCTCTTGTGTGAGGTCCAAGAACCCTCTCTTGTGGTCTGGATCAGGACCCCTTGCCAGTAACATCTTCCTGGTGAACCCCAAAGAGACCATACTGAGGAGACAAAGGAAACAGATTGCAGCACTGATTGGCTGACTTTGGGTAAGTGGCAGAGTAGCTGGATAAAAGATAGGATTCGGCAAGAGGCCCAAATTAGGGGAGTTAGAGTCTCTCCTAAGACAGAGCAGGTTAAAAGCCCCTCTTAATAAAAGGCAAGGATGCTTGACCAAAACCTGGTCCAAGGCTCAACTTAGGAAGGTTAGAGTCCTTATTAAGATTTAGGGGGTTAGAGGCCATCCTCTAAGTAATGTCCCTTTTGGTTAAAAATAGATTCGGTATTATCCGAAGTTAACCATTATTCTCTATGGATTAATCTGCCTTGCATTCTTTGCTGATGGCTATGGGTGACAGGACTAGGCATGTACAGGACCACGGAGCATGCATGGGGAGCTTTTCCCTCCCCAAAGGGGGAAACTAAGGCTGAGACTAAGCTGCATTTCCAGGAGGCTAGGTATCCTAAGTCACAGGTTGAGACAGGAGGTCAGAACAAGGTATAGGCCATAAAGATGTGATAAAGAAGCTGGCCAAATCCCATCAAAACCAAGATGGCCAAGAAAGTGACCTCTGGTCATCCTCACAGCTCATTATACACTAATTATAATGCATTAGTATGCTAAAAGACACTCCCATCAGTGCCATGACAGCTTACAAATGCCAAGGCAATATCAGGAAGTAATCCTGTAGGGTCTAAAAAGGGGAGGAGCCCTCAGTCCTAGAAATTGCCCATACCTTTCCTGGGAAACTCATGAATAATTCACCCTTTGTTTAGCATACAATCAAGTAATAACTGTAAGTATCCTTGGTGGGGCAGCCTAAGCTGCTGCTCTGCCTATGGAGTAGCCATTCTTTATTCCTTTACTTTCCTAATAACCTTATTTTCACTTAAAAAGAAAAAAAGAAAAAAGCCACTAAATTTGTGGTTATTAGTTCCACAGTAATAGAAATTGAATACAACAAAAAATACCATTTTATTTAAATCAAAGCTTATCCAATGCTGAATCCTCATAGGGCAAGACTGGCAGGATATTCAATCCCTTACATTACTGAGGCCCTTTCATCTACCAGTAAGAAGATTACCTTTTCCCACAACACCAGGCAGAGTCCTGAGATTGTCCTCAGTTTTTACTTCCCAGACTCTCCTGAGGCAAAGCAGCATAAAAGTCTGGTTTTCTACTTGAAGTTCGGAGATAAATAAAACATACATTAACCTCAATAAATTATCCTGACACTAATAAGTTGTCTATATCCCATGATATTTTACTCCCCTTCCTGGTGTCTTGGCACTTCCCAGAAGTTGGGTCACTGATGGTCTGATACCTGGTTCAGTCCCAAGCTGGTAACCCCACCTGCATGTTTCCTCAGGCTTCTGAAGGTCATTGTTCACAAACCTGGATATTGGGTGAATTTCCTGTTTCCCGTAGAGGAAAATGCCTTTCCTTTCTCAACTCTGACTGCATCCTGCCTGGATAGGTGCTTTCTTTGATTCTGGTCAGCTTCTGAGAAAAAGGATTTATAGGGGATTTTCTTCATAAGGAGCAGAGATGGAGCAGGAGACCATTCATGTATCTTTGGCAATATTCTATGCAACAGATGATGGAGGCTTGAACCTGGGCAGATGTAGCAGGTGAGCTAAATGTTCGAATTTTGAATACTTTGAAGGGTAAAGCCAATAATCCGAGATGGGGTGTTAAAGTCCAAAATAAGTAGTTTCATGTCCCCCTAAAAGAAGCAGAGGCAACATTAATATAGAGAATTTAATTGGGCCAAGGTTGAGGACCACAGCCTAGGACATACTTCCAGGTTGCCAAGAAGAGTGCTCTGGAGAACAAAACAAGCTGGAGTTTTTAAAGAAAAGAGAATGAATCAACGGGGGGGGGGGGGGGGGGGGGGGCATTACAAAAGCTATTTCTCAGGAAGTCTCATTCGTTTACAGAAATTACATTGGTTATGATTGGCTATACACGTTGTTGAACTATATATAGGGTTGAACTATGGCATTTTATGGCTACTTGGTGTCATTCTAGAGCCTGCCTAGCAAGTGGCTTCAAAAGGTAATTATTTAGCTCAAGGGAGAGTGAGACATGACTGTTTGCATTCCTTGAAGTTTTTTTCCTCCTTATCATCTGCCTTCTCACACCACACAATTGGGAGTTTCATGGGACCTTACATGACTTGAGCACATTTCACCTCTTGAAATTAAAGATGAGCAGTTTCCTTTTGTTTAAAGATAAGTCACATGAGAATTTAATTTCGGCAGTTAAAGAATTGGTCCTCCAACTTAAATCTGCAGCTAAGAAGAATTTTCTGATTCATCTCCTTTCCTACAGTTTCTGGGTTTTGTTTATCCTCCAATTCCAAATGGCATAATTGCTAGTTCTTTCTCCCACGTAACATCCATCACCAGGTGGGTGTTTCAGCCCTTTTCTCTCTCACATAGGGCCCTCCAAAGGAAAAGAGGGGTGCTGTTTTTTGGGGGAAAGAATGCAGTATAGTCGAATACAACAGCCGAGTATTTTATTCACAAATTGATTTCAAGATGACTGAAAAATTTAACAGTGAAATAAACACTTTAATACAGTGTTTGCTCTATTACTATGTTGTCTACTTTGCTTCACATTTAATATACTACAACTGTAGAGTTAAGACAACTGTGATTCCTAAACTTAATTCACACGATTAATGAAAACCAAACTTAATTCTCTGTTTAAATGTTGTGTATTGCTGGAAGTAACACAAAGCATTAATAGATGAAAGGAATTCGACACCCATTTTGGGTATATAGCATTTCTGCCTTCAAGCTAACGTAGATTTCGTTTCGGCTTACTGACGTATCCAGTAGTTGTAAACACCTGGACAATGTAGTTACCTTTCTAGGGCTTGTTTCCTTATACATAAAACCTACTGGTACCCCAGGCCAGCTCTCCTATTGCTTCCTGATCCTGGGGCCATGAACAATCTAAAAACCTCATTTAACAAATATTTGGTGTCCAGTGTAAAACAGTGTGCCTGATGCCGGGAATACCATATTAGCACAAGACACAAAGAACAGCAAGAAATTCACATAATGAAATGGACCAGCTGTGAGTAGTTTCCAGTGTATATAACCTTTCCTTTATTGGCCTTTAAATAATAAACCAGCTGTTGCAACTGCGCTGCGTGCACTCGTGGGAACCCTGCAAATTGTTAAACTGCCATCCCAAGGGAGGAAATGCAGAATTTCATTTTATTTTCACTTTTCAAGGGGTTAAATTCGGGCTTGGTACTGGGGTGCTCTCAGGAAGGCTTCCTTACCTCTCCCACGGACGCTACTTCCTCTCACCTGCGCTCTAGCACCGCCCACACTTTCCTTCCGGGTTCCAAGGGAACCGCCCCACCAGGCTTGGGCCAATGCGCTGGTTCCTTCTCGGCGGCAGGGTGGGACCTCGAGCCCGGCTTCGGAGACCCGCCCCCGTACGTGGCGTGCGTGCAGGGCGCTGTGCGGCGCGGGCCGGTTTCTCCAGCGCTTGGCGCCCCCCGGCGGCAGCGGGGCTTCAATGCCACGGCCTGACTGGAGCGTCCGCCATGGAGTCGCAGAAAGAGGCGCGAACACCGCAGGAGCCAGTCGAGCGGCCGCCTGGGCCCTCAAGGTCTCATACCGCGAAGGACAAGGAGCGGCAGGAGGGCGGCGCAGTGCCGGCGGCGGCTTCCCTGGGCGCGGAGGGGGACGACACAAGTGCGGACGGGCTGTGGGAGCTGCCGGTGGAGCCGGCCGAGCGGAGGCCCGAGTGCAGCCGCTGCAGGTGACCGCGGGGCCGGGGGCGGGGACTGCAGCCGGCGGTGGCCTTCGTAGGAGGCTGCGGCGCCCCCTGCAGGGGAGGCGGCGGCTTGGGCGGCTCTGCGCTTAGGTCGGCGGCGGGCTTGGCGGTTTCGCCTTGGAAATCCCGGAAATGCCGGGCACGCCTCCTTAGAAGCCCGTTATCCAGGTTCATGATTTTTTAACCTTACTTCCTGCAACATATTGAGCATGTCATGGGGTGAGCAGACATCAGTTCTGTTTCCGAGAAACTTAGGTGTCCGATAGGGAAAGTAAGGCGTGATGACCATAATGCTTGTAGTTTCACAGTCATACTTAAGTGGCATAGTCATATCACAGTTAAAAAACATAAGGTGGGTTGGAGGAGAGAGACAGTCTCCTTTGCCTGCCCTGCCAAAACTTTAAATATAGGGCCTTTTCAGGTCTTCATTCTGCGTTCTCTTCTAACCCTACACACGTCGCAATGGTAATTTTAAAAATCAGTTTTCATGGTAAACGATCACCTACATCCTAGTGTATCTAGTTCAGACCTTTCTTCTGAGCACCAGAACTGTGCATTGATTAATTTATCAGGTGTTTGTTGAGTGCTTTGATAATCACTGACTGCGGGTGGAGTCCATGTCTTTGTATTCTCTTACTGGATACAGATAATAAACCAGCAAACAACCAACCAAATATGTAATTACAAACTGGGAAAAAGCAATGAGGGAAAGGAATGGGATGCTATTGTACAAAACAGCTAGATGGTGTCAGGAACTATCTCTGAGACCTGAAAGATGAGAAGAATCCAGCTAGGGGAAAAGCATTCCAAAAAGCGGAACAGCAGGACTGAATATGGTTGAAGGTCTTTAGTGCTTGAGAACTTGGAGTATCTTACTTTGGACATTTTGACCTTTTCCTAGGGCTAGTTTGTAGAACTTCAGGGGAAGAGCTCTTGAATATAGAATGTTTTTTTCTATTTTCTAAGTGTACTATGTATAGTTGACGCTCAGTAAACCTTTGAGGAGGATGGAAAATTTGTGATTTAGGGACTGTGATTTTGAACATAGGGGTTTGTCAATACAATTAATTTAAACAAGCCGTCTGAAGGGGTTAGGGAAAATGTTTTAAAATGTTTGGATGGATCTCAATAGGATACTGAAAGAAAAGTATTTCAAATATAAATCGAAGGCTAAATCACTGTGCTGGCTTTATTATGTAGTTTTTAGTCTGTTCAGAACTGTTAATTATAAAAATATAGTTAAAAAATCTGTTTAGCAGAGATTTATGATGCTTTTTTAAAAATAAAAGTGACTTGCTAAATTTTATCTCTATTTTCAGTTACATTTCGTTAATACCTTAGGATTACAGTTTTCCCCAACATTTCTGCACTTTGCTTATTTCGGGTGAAATTTGCTACCTGTGAAAAGCTCTTCTCCCGCTTGGCATGCTATGCATTTTATTTGCTTTAATTAGGTAGACTATAATTCTAGAATAATGGAGAATATTTAAGTTTTTTCAATAAAAGGTAAACGAATTAATGGCTTTTTCTTTTTTATTAGGCTATTAGAGTTCTACTAGTACCCTGGGTGAACTTTTTTACATTTATGCTTAAAATAGTTTTAAAAATGCATTATTAGTTTTGTTTGATCAGTAAGTCACAGTTATTTGGCTATTTACTTAAGCGGTATTTGTTTCTCTGAACACGTTACTATGAATGTCACAGCCTATGGGAGTTCCAGAAATTAGGTTTGTTCAGGAAGTGTAAACTCAGTTTAACTTTTCAGCAGAATCTTGCTCATTAGAATTACAGCATGTCTTAAATATGAATGGAATATTCTTAAAAAGATCCCAAATTTGTATTATTGCAGGATATAGATTCTATAAATGTATTCTGTCCTTTATGTATGTCTTGTTTTCAAAACCTGCCTGTGTTTCATTTACCTCTTAGAATACCTTTTCTATCCCCTATTCCCAAACATATAAAATTTTTTTTTCAGGTAAAGACAAAACCTTGTTTGAGCTCCCTAAAGTATGTATCGTTAGCATTAGTTGAGATAAAATAAGAAGGCTGAGGGTCATGGGACATGGTAGGTGCACAAAAGATTTGTTAAACTACTTGGTAAAATTCAGTTGTTCAACAAATATTTTTGGAGACTCTACTTCCAGAGAGTGTGATAGTCACACAGCTATGAAATACAAAGATGAAAATGAGATGATTTCAATTCTCCTGTAGCTCAGGATCTAGTGGAAAGTGGCATATCTATTTAAACGGGGAGCCCTCAGATTAAAAATTAGATGATGTAGGGCAGTTTTTTCGAGTTACTATTATTTTCCTTCAGTTTTTTCAAATTATAGGTAACGAACCACAGTGAAACTTTTGTTATATGCACACTTGTGTGTAGTAGAGAATGTATTCAAAGAGTTTGAAAAACATCACATTTTTGAGGCTCTGAAGAAAACAGCAAAAAGTGTTTCCTGAATTTTTCAAAGTAAAAATATTTGTAAAATAACTGTTCGGGTTAAATTTATTTTGCTAATTTAAATAATCTTATTTAAATTATATGACATCAGAGTGGAAAGATTTAAACACTTTTTATATGTATTTGATATCCTTTGGCAGTCTTTGAAGTTAGGCCATGATGGGAGAAAGATTAAAGAAAGATCTTTAATTTTGTTAGGAAGTAAAACATAATGTACATGTGTATATGTATGTATATATGTGTGGTGTGTGTGTGTGTATGTGTGTATATATATATATATATAAAATGCACATAAGCATGTGGACTTTTTCTTGTTGAATTCTACACTGTCAGCTTCTTTCTTAGATGGGTATATGTAAGGTGTTATAGGAAGATATAAGAAAGGTGCTTCTAACCCTAAGTTTGTGCAGTGGAGGTGAGGGAAAGATCAGGGAAATCTTTTTTTTTTTTTTTTTTTGAGACGGAGTTTCACTCTTGTTACCCAGGCTGGAGTGCAATGGCGCGATCTCGGCTCACCGCAACCTCCGCCTCCTGGGTTCAGGCAATTCTCCTGCCTCAGCCTCCTGAGTAGCTGGGATTACAGGCACGTGCCACCATGCCCAGCTAATTTTTTGTATTTTTAGTAGAGATGGGGTTTCACCATGTTGACCAGGATGGTCTCGATCTCTTGACCTTGTGATCCACCCGCCTCGGCCTCCCAAAGTGCTGGGATTACAGGCTTGAGCCACCGCGTCCGGCCCAGATCAGGGAAATCTTTTTTTTTTTTTTTTTTTTTTTTTTTTTTTTTTTTCTGAGACGGAGTTTCGCTCTTGTTACCCAGGCTGGAGTGCAATGGCGCGATCTCGGCTCACCGCCATCTCCGCCTCCTGGGTTCAGGCAATTCTCCTGCCTCAGCCTCCTGAGTAGCTGGGATTACAGGCATGTGCCACCATGCCCAGCTAATTTTTTGTATTTTTAGTAGAGACGGGGTTTCACCATATTGACCAGGATGGTCTCGATCTCTTGACCTCGTGATCCACCCACCTCGGCCTCCCAAAGTGCTGGGATTACAGGCTTGAGCCACCACGCCCAGCTGGGAAATCTTAAAAGTGACATGTAAGCTGAGACTGAAGGACATAACAAAATATTTAATCTGGATTCTAATATTTAGAATTAATTAGGGAAGAGACTGGCTATGGGGAGGGCTTGAGGGAGGAAAAAGTGAGCTCTGGTTGAGGGAACATCGTTCAAGAGTTCTGTGTACAGCGTATATATAATGTATTTGGAGAGTTTGGCAGAAGGGAGGGAGTAGTGAGAGAAAAGGCTGCAGAGATTAGTGGTAGTGCCCCAGACAGGGCAAGACAAACTATGTCAGGGAGTTTGGGTCTAATGCTCTTGAACCCAACAAGCCAGCCACTGTAGTATTTTTATATTTGAATGGTGATGATAAGTTTGACTTTTGTAGGTTACTTTTAGCTGTATGATTTATACTTTTTTATTTTATACAACTGGATGGTGATAAAAGGGTACAAGCTTGACTGGAAAGGATTAGGGCCTCATTCCAGAAATATTTTAGGCATCTTAATTATACTTTTACATCTTCTGTAGATAATTGCTATGCATTTGAGGATGAGTCATAAACCACTTGCAAATCATTGGTCGTAGGAATAACGGAATAATGTCTAAAAACAGCGTGTTTTTTAACCTTTTTAAGGGTAGAAACAGCAGGGAGAGTGTGCATACAAACTGAATCAGATAACCCTGAGATGGAAGTTTTTGTCTCTCTAGTGTTTTCTTTTCAAAAGTAACAAGCTGTAAGAATTATAATAAACCATATCTGCGTGTTTAACACCCATTTACTAAACACCAGCCATCTGCCAGGCACGTACCAGGCCTAGGTGTTTTATATATGGTAATATTTTATTCAGTTCTTGTAACAAACTTTTAGATTGCTTCTTTTTTTTTCAAACTGAATCTTGCTCTGTTGCCCAGGCCGGATGGCAGTGGCACAATCTCAGCTCATTGCAACCTCTGCCTCCTGGGTTCAAGCCATTCTCCTGCCTCAGCCTCCCGAGTAGCTGGGACTACAGCTGCCCACCACCACATTTGGCTAATTTTTGTATTTATTTATTTATTTTTTGAGATGGGGTTTTGTCTTGTTGGCTAGGCTGGTCTCAAACTCCTGACCTCAGGTAATCCACCCTCCTCAGCCTCCCAAAGTGTTGGGATTACAGGCGTGAGCCACCACGCCGAGCCTAATTTTTATATTTTTGGTAGAGACAGGGTTTCCACCTTGTTGGCCAGGCTGGTCTCAAGCTCCTTACCTCAGGTGATCCTCCCTCCTCAGCCTCCCCAAGTGCTGGGATTACAGGCATGAGCCACTATGCCTGGCCTAATTTTTTTATTTTTAGTAGAGACAGGGTTTCCGCCTTGTTTGCCAGGCTGGTCTCAAACTCCTGAACTCAGGTGATCTGCCCTCCTCCTCAGCCTCCCAAAGTGCTGGGATTACAGGTGTGAGCCACCATGCCTCGCCTATTTTTTGTGT